TAGGTATTTGGTGACTTATAGTTATTAGGAAGAAGTTTATCACTCCTCTTTTTCGTTCTTGTTCTTTGCTGGAAAGAATTCTTTCTCTTTCTCCTTCTCCTTCTCCTTCTCCTTCTCCTTCTCCTTCTCCTTCTCCTTCTCCTTCTCCTTCTCCTTCTCCTTCTCCTTCTCCTTCTCCTTCTCCTTCTCCTTCTCCATCTCCAGATCTCAGTACCCGATATTTTCCAAATCCAATCGGGGATTAACCACCTCGAATTAGAACAACCCTTTGAATATTCTTCCATATTAGTTTCTACCTTTAATTGCTTCTCCTCCTTTTACTTGTGGTTTCTTTTGCCTTGCTCCGTACTTTTTGCTTGTATGTTACCTATGATCTAACAATCATTTTCTCACTCACTCTCCACTTTGTGTTTTTCTTTTTATTTCTATTTCTTCTATTTTCTTATCTAAATTTTTAAATTTTCCTATTCATTTTTCTGTTTCCTGATTCTAGTTTCCGATTTCCCGTTTCCAGTTTCGGGGGGTTTTTTTTTGTTTTTTTTTTGGCGCATGCAAGTATGTATGGTTAGATTGTTTGTTTATCTAAATCTAATTACCTAGTAGGTACCTATAGTTATATAGATGTTGGAAATATTAGCTGATTGGAATTTGAGTATGAATATGAATATGAATATGAAATATGAATATGAATATTATATCACGATGCATAAGACTAACTCGTTGTTGATTATGCGTTTTAGAGATTGGTGTGTGATTGGTGTATGATTGGTGTATGATTGGTGTATGATTTGATTGATACAGAGTAGAGAAGTAGAGAAATAAAGTAAAGCAAAGATATTAAGATATCAAGTGAAATTATTTTGTACGATTAGTTAGTCACTCACTATACTCCCTCCAAATATTCAAGAAGACAACGATTTATTTGATTTGATTTGATTTAATTTGATCTAGTCTAATAATTTGATTATCTGAATGTATGTATCCTCGTATCTAAGTATCTAGGGAAACTCATAGCTCGCTCGAAAACTGAATGGAGAGATGTATGATGTATGATGTATGATGTATGATGTATGATGTATGATGTATGATGTATGATGTATGATGTATGATATGATGTATGATGTATGATGTATGATGTATGATTATGTGTACATGGATGAATGGGTATCGCTACTCGTTTATTCGTGGATGTTTCGTCGCCAAGGTTGATGGGTTGTATGATGTGATAGGATATGATATCATCGATAAACGAAGTGAACTTCCTCTGCTCTCTCTTCATCCCCGTGATAGGAGTAGTACGAAGTAATGATGAATATTCGAAAACCGGTCTGAACATGACATGATCCGACTCCCATTTCCTTTCTCAATCCTCCTCCCCACCCAACCCCATCCGGAACCCAAACCCCAACCTAGAAAATCTCCTCCACCTCATCCCAAATTACACTCGTGACCTGGCCATTCAACCCCGCCACCCCCTCAAAATCACCCACTTGCACATCCGCCACAAAATCTCCAAACAATCCCGTCTTCGCATCACGCTTTATGATTACCACTCTCGCGCTTTGTTGCAGGGCAACCGCTACAAGCGTTCCAGCTTTATTCATCGACATTTGACGCGGGTAGATGCCACCCGAGGGAGAAAGTTGCGAGAAAGAGAGACCGCCATAAGTACCATTGGAGGCGGTGTTGATACTCCAAGTTTGGAGGGTGTCGGAGGGGAGAGCGGTGCTGTTGAGGGGGTGGGTGGGGGGTTGGGGGAGGGAGAGAATGGTGGCGTTGCGGGAGGAGGTGAGGATGTGTTTTCCGTCGGGCTAGGGACGTTAGTGTGTACTCAGAATTTTACATGGTATTCACATCTCTTTCCGAATAAAAGATGATAAAAACTTGAAGAAACTTACAGTCAAAAGACATTCCGCAGCGGCCGCTCCCTCAGGTGTCTTCTGATCACCATAAATACCATGACTATCAATATTGGTAAAAGTCAATCCCTCGGAGCCCTCTCCATATGTCACCTTGAAACTCGACACCGTATTGGCCAATTCCGAAACCAGATAGAAGTAAGTGTCACCACAATCCGTCACGTGAAAGACACCATGACGAGGACCACTAGCCGGAGGAGCCTTGTAGGGAGTGAGTTCTGTTAGGAGAGCGGTAGCGGGGTCGATGGAGAAGACGCGGACGAGATCGGCGCCGAGATCTGGGACGATGATGTATTTCTCGGTTGGGTCCAGGAGTGCTTCGTGGGGATGCGGGGCGAGTTGTCTCTTGAGGGGATCGGGTCCCGGGCCGGGCATGGTGAAGGTGATGGTTTGGAGGGGGGAGAGAGTTCCATCTGCTTGGATATTGTGAGTGGTGAGAGAGGCACCATTGCTGTTGTTTGTTAGTTTGATGTGTTGATCTCTATGGGAGAAAAAATCTGAATGGAAATATAAATATAACACCTACTAATGAGCAGCCGCCATGGCTTTTCCTTCATTGAAAAGAACCGAACTAACCGGACCACTGATGGTCAACCCATTGCCCAATAAACTCAAAGTGCCATCATCAGCAATGCTGAAGCTCGAGATACTTCCATTGCTGACGGTTAAACCTTCGTTCAAACAATACAAGATACCATTTTTGGGATCTTTGTGTAACCACGAAGGATTATCTGTCGTGACATTATTGACAGACAAGGTATTGAGAGCATATGAACCATTTAAAGATTTTGATAATTGTAAGGTACTGATGGTACCAATGTATGAGGAAACGAAGAGATTTGCGGTAATAGTACCATTAACAAAGACATCTCTGGGATGGAAACGCATGATGAAATAAGTGTAAGTTTGTTTCAGGCAATGTGTACTGAAGAAGAAGAAGAAGAAGAAGAAGAAGAAGAAGAGGGAAGAAGAAGAAGAGGGAAGAAATGGAAGAAGACAAAGTAGAAGACAAAGTAGAAGAAAAGGTCGAAAAAAAAGAAAAGAAAAGAAGATTGATAAAGTAGAAGATTGAGTAATACCCCCATCTTGAGGGAAAGATATATTTATGAATGACTACTTATGTACCTTTTATGTAGTTATGTGAATGAATGTTTAATAGATGAAGGGCGGGGAATCAGTCACTTGGCAATGAGGATCTCAGAATTGGTGAATGATTTGGTTACTTAGGTATCCATATGAGTGAGGTTGAGGTTGTGGTGTGTGTGGTTGGTGTGTGGTATGTGTGGTGTGGTTATGATTTTGATTGATTGTTGGTTATGTTACGGAATATATTTACCTAAAAATGATCAAAAAGAATCAAAAAGTGAGTCAAAAGATGGAAAGATGGAAAGATGGAAAGATGGCTAACTATGAGAATTGAAGCTTATATTTATGAATCCTTGCAAGCTTGATGATGATTTATTTCTGAATTGAGAATCATTTACCGATGAAGGATGGGGTGGGTGATGAAGATTATGGATTATGTTGTGTGAGGATAATTATCCGGAGGCGGGAAGGGGGAGGGGAAGGGAAGAGAAGGGAAGAGAAGGGGAGGGGAGGTTGAAACATGAAACATGAAACATGAAACATGAAACATGAAACATGGTAGGTAGACAGCGACCCAGGCAATCAATGTTACATCTTACATCTTATTAATAGATGGCGGTAGTGGTGGATTGGGGGTGGATTGCTTCTCATTGCTTCTAATAAAGTTGGTATCGTGCGAGCGAGTCGGACCGTGAAAAGGAAGGAGCCAAGAGAGGAAGATCTATCTGTCTGGATCATTTACCCCCGGCCGAGGATGAAGTTGGTTCCTGGATTGATTTGATTGGTAAGTGAGTAGAAGAAGAAGGGTTTAATGATTGATTGCTTTGGTTAAATGAGGAGCCGTCTTTCCCTTCACTCTAGCTATCTAGACTAGACTAGACCCTCACTCTCCAGTCATCTTGTTTTTCTTCAAACATAGCCAGCCATATTGCAAGATGATCCATACCATTGCCGGACTGTTTTTCCTCATCCGAAATTCCGCAGAGCAGAGCAGAGCAGTGCAGTGCAGTGCAGTGCAGTGCAGTGAATAAATATATCCGGTCGAGCCGGTCCATGTACTTACTACTTACTATATATATATATATTATATACCAAGAACATGCTGACAGGTACTTGAATGAAGTACGTAGTCCAAATATATCTATCTATCTACCTATGTAGCTATCTGGCTTTGAAGCATCGATTGAAATAATACCTTTACTTCATTCGAGATACTCAACATATCTATCGAAACAGTATCTTTAGTTATCTCAAAGTGCTCAAGGTAGCCCCATTCAATGATATTTCTTTATAAGTCATTGATTTGAAATAGTCAAGTTAAGATATCTATCTGTTCTTCTGGTACCTTCAATCGGTTCGAGAAACTCGACATCTATCCAAACGCCACCTCTACTTATCTCAAGGATCTCAAGTTGAAATCCTGATCCTGCCATACACCACAATGATATCTACGAGCGTAAGATTTAATCAACATTGCAGATAAAAGTAGGCAAAGTACCTAGGTATGCAATGATCAAACCACATCAACGAAATTGCTTCTCGAAACAACACGAGTGAAAACATTTATCCATTCAGTAACAATGAATGAAGAGAGGTAGAGGTTCAGAAGGAAAGGTCAAAACCTCTGTTATATGTAAAGCCGGTAGTAGTACCATCAGATTGCATACAACTAACACGCCATCACACTTCGTACATGGATAACAAAAGTCGATGGGTGAATTCTTAAGAAGAAAACATCGAAAACATCGAAAACATCGACAAAACATGGTCAATTTCAATATTTACCCCCTCGATTGCTTTGCTTGCTTATAAATATCAAAAGTATCTTACGTCATTACGACCCCATAATATTTTCAATGTCGGGATTGAAGAGCTCAATATTTATACATTCCCCAGTTACTTTTCTGATATTTCTTATACTCACGTCAATTGTATTGAACTTCTTGTTTATCATCCAACGAAATAATACCACAGCAAATCTACAATATCAAAACAATGGCGCCCAAAATATTCATGTAAGTTACCCATCCCATCTCGTCCACCCCACTACCAACAATACCACCACCAAGAAACACCCCCCAAACTCACCCCTCAAAAGCACAGGAACCACAGGCTACACTGGAGGTGATGCCCTCTACACACTCTACAATGCCCACCCAGATTGGGAATTCACAGCTCTCGTCCGCAACTCTGATCGAGGTGCTCCTGTCGCCGCCGCCTTCCCAAAAGTTCATTTAGTCTATGGTACTTTGGAAGATGCATCTATTATTGAAGAGGAAGCTGCAAAGGCAGATATAGTTTTACGTATGTCTTTTTTGTCCCTTTATATTCTGTTCTGTCCTAGCTACTCTATATGATATGAATTGGAACCAAACCCCCGTCCTATCCTACTCCATCCCATCCCATCCCATCCCATCCCATCTACAAGAAACAGAATCCAAAAAACCACTAACAAAATCCCACACAAACAGACACAGCCGACTCCTCCGACCACGAAGTAGCCGCAAAAGCCATCGCCACTGGCCTGGCAAAAGGTCACTCCCCCTCAAACCCAGGCTACTGGCTCCATCTCTCCGGCACCGGCATCCTCTGCTGGAAAGACATGGAAACGCAAACCTACGGCGAAGCCCCCTCCCAGCCCCCCTACAACGATCTTGAAGGCGTCTCTCAACTCACCAGTCTCCCGGACTCCGCCTTCCACCGGGACATCGACAAGCTCGTGCTCTCCGCGGGCTCCCCCTCGGTGAAAACCGCCATCGTCTGTCCCCCCACCATCTACGGCCCCGGCCGCGGCCCCGGCAACCAGCGCAGCAGACAAGTCTACAACCTCGTCCGCATCACCCTCCAAAAGGGCCGGGCCCCCCAACTCGGCAAGGGTCTCACCGAGTGGGATAACGTGCACGTGCACGATCTCAGCAATCTCTTCCTCCTGCTCGCCGAGCGCGCAGTCCCCGACTCCCAATCTTCCGAAGACGTGGAACTCTGGAACGAGAAAGGGTACTTCCTCGCCGAAAACGGACACCACGTCTGGGGCGAAATCTCCCAACAAGTCGGCGAGGTCGCATTTGCCAAAGGACTCATCAAGACGAAAGAAGTCGCCGCGATGGATGTGGATGAAGCAAAGGAGTTGGCAGGATTCGAAGCGGTTTCCTGGGGATTGAATTCCAAGGGTTTCGCCAAGAGAGCGCGGAAGTATCTCGGCTGGAATCCTACCGGGAGAAGCTTGAAAGAGGAGATTCCGTTTATTGTGGAGCAGGAGGCTCAGAGAGAGGGGTTGGTGAAGGGCCATAAGGAGGTTGCGGCTGGGAAGGCGTGAGGGTGAAATGTAGTAAATAAGTAACTAGGTAAACAAGTAGAAATAATAATCTATCACATGTATTAAACCCAATATCGTATTCACCCAACGCAATTTTGAGCTCAATATATATTACATATAATACGTAACAATAATATTTCAAGCAAACGCACTATTAGAGATACTATTTTCATTACTGCTATAACCTTGTGTTTCTATGTAAAAATAAAAATAAAAAATCTTCTTCATTTTAAATGCAGGATCTCAATCTGATATGTTAAATACATATACACACATACATATATACATCTCAATATACCCAAATAGATTAACATCATTTTAATATATCATCACAAATACACGCATATCATATCACATAAGATTATACTTCGCATTCCTTATAATTCTTTTCTCTTCTTTATTCAAAAAGATATCTCTATAATCCCTCTATAATCCCTCTAAACCTCCCCCCCCCCCCTCCCCCCCCTCCCTTCCACTTTTCCCTTCCTCCCCTCCCTCCCTTTCAAAAAAATAATTAGCCATACAATCCAATCCAATCCAAAGAATCTCCCCTTTCCCATCTCTCCATCTCCCCAAAATCCATCTATCATATCATATTATATCACACATATCACATCATATACATCCGAATTTCCACCTACCCCTACTACCCACCAAGCGAAGCTAGATAGTTAGACAGCTGAACTAGAATCGAGAATCGAGAATACGAGCTAGGTATGTATTACTACTGCTATTACTATTATACTACTTTCTACCTACATTTAGAAAGTAATACATATCACTAGCTGTTGCTCACGATTTCAAACACCCTTGAAGTCCACATTCTTCCCGTTCGTCATCACTATGCCTTATATCTCTATAATCATCTGTATGATTTACGTTTACCTATTTCATTTGCAAGTCTCAAGAATATCTATCATACTCTTTTAAAATGTTCCTGTACGTCCAAATGTAATTATTTATGTAGCTAAGATGTTTTGATACAAGTGCGTTGATTCAACCTCCCCATCATTTTCCTTTGATATTGTACAGTTAAGCGAATACAATACCTTGTGAAGTATATAGATATTCCTTTGAAATTTTGTCCACGCTTGGCCAGCAATATGTAAAACATCTCTCATACATGGTTATTAATCCGCCTCGTCCGTAATACTACAAACAGCGGACCAAACTACCCCAAAATACGTCTCTTAGTTTAGCTAGGTGGACTTTCGATTTCCTCGCATCCTTTGAATCACTTCATATGTTGCATACCTCCCCAGCATAAACCGGCATTCGGACTTCTCAATCTTCAAAAGAAATCAGATTTTCATTGCTTCAACTTCCCCTATCCAGCATTCACTGGGCTTCTGCACGTAAAAGCCGTGATTTTAGGCTCCTTGAAGGCCGCAATCAATGCTTCAATAGCACTATACGCGCCCAAAGCAGCTGTCAACAATGCACCACAGAAGTAAATGATATTCCAGATGTTCAAGATAAATCTCTTTTTGAAACCACGCAGGATTCTTTTAAATCCAGTGTCTGTAAGAGTGACTTGACCGGTGGCGGGACTGAAGCCTTCAGTGTCGAGAATCGCATCAACTCGGATGCAGTAGCCTAAGTAGAGGAAAGGCGGAAATGTGTAGGTGAATTGTAGAATACAGAGGGCTGCGACAAGAGACGAGAGACCGAAGAAATTTGGTATGGCGGCAGAAACAATATAAGCAATTGACCAATAAACTGGAACAATGCTCATCCAAAATAATTTCCCTCTATGTGAGCTGAGAGGTGGTGCACCAAATAAATCCATCAGTACATTATTATATAGGACTTTAATACCGATATTACCGTATAGGCCAGCTGCAATAAGAGCTGACATGAGCGCAATAATGTTGTTGACAGTTTGCCACGCATAGGGGGATACACCTTGAAAGGAAGGATTGACAGCATATTGACCTTGATAGCCATAGATGAAGCATCCGTAGATCATGTACAGAATATAGATGAATGCTTGAGCACAAATCATACCCTTCCAAAAGTCACGGGGCTTGCGCATCTCCGACATGAATTCTGTGAATAACATAGCTCCTCCATATGCATAAACGGCTTGCATGAGTCCATTCACGGCACCAGTGAAACCAGCTGTTGAAGGAGGGAGATTACCAAATGTTGCGACGGGTGGAAAGTTACCAGCATCATCTGGGGTGACGAGTGCACCACCAAGTGCAGTTCCAGCAGCAGCATCTACCGCCAAGTAATTTGGCGCACTATGTGAAATGACAACCATCGAACACACAATGATGAAAACGTTCATCCAGATGGCGGCATTGGCTAACCAACCAAACTTTTGTAGAGTGCGAACTTGACCAAGGAAAAAGCCAGCAAGCGCAAATACAAGACAGCAGACTGCGTAACATAGTTTGAACTTCGAAACCTGAGAAAGTGCCTATAATTGAGTTAGAATACTGAAAGACTTGAAAAAATGGTAGAAAGTCCATCAAGTGAAGAAATTCTCACCTGGCCATTGCCAACAACAATCACTCCGACATTGAAGAGCAGTTGGATAGATTGAAGGATGTTGACTGCATGTCGAACAGGTGCTCCATAAACTCGGAAAGCTATATCTCCATACGTTCTCAATGGATATTGATGGGAATCCAGTCCGAGGAACATGTAGTATAAAAGGAATCCACCACTAGTATTTGTTAGCGTGAGATCCAAGTACAGATATCAAACATATCTTACTACACAGCCAATCCTCCAAATACAGTATAAAGTGCGATACCAGGTCCCCAGCCTAGAGTTCCTAAGGCAAACCTAGTGAGTAAAGTATTAGCTGATTGTTCATTAAAAGAGTAGCCATTCAATCACTTACGGAACACCAAAAGGACCCAAAATATCTGTGGTAATCAAATAAAAAACTGAAGACCAAGTAGCCGTTCTCAAAGCCCTACTAGCATTTGTCCACTCATCATTCGTAATCGTCGAGCGATCACCATGGGACATATCATGTACATTTCTCTCAGTGGCTATATTTTCAGCTCCATTCTCGGCATCTACCTCATTCGAATTTTCCGCCTCAGGTGCAGAATTGATCGGAGCCTGTCCCTTTAAGTTCTTAGGTGGAACAATAAGAGAAAACAAAGTAGTATCGCCAGTATCATTGTTAGTGCTAGCATCCTCTTCTGCGCGTGAGAGACCGGCATAGTAATGATATTCCTCAAAAGTGACTGAAGAATCGTGGAATTTCTTATACTGAGGTTGAACATATGCAGACGCCACTGCATTAGTATTCTCAGCATCGACCTGAGGGTCACCGGCAGAATCTGCCAGTGCAGATGGTGTAGTCATTGTTTGTGTATGCACCTTGGTAACTCGTTATATTACACTGGAGAGTCGGATATGGTTAAACGGAATGAATGATTGCTATAGAAACTTTGTGTGGTTTTGCGAATGGAAAATGACAATGAAGTAAGAGGAAGATTTTACAGGAAATTATCCAGATAGTATGACAGAGAATGTACGATTTACAATGTGTACAAGAACATCAATTGAAATTGAAGGATCGGAAGAAAATGAGAGCTTGTGGAAAGAAAAAGTTTTGTGGACGAGAGGTTTTTGGTAGTTGTAAGGAAGAAAAGAATTAACATCGCAAAGAAGGACCCTCGACTCTAGTGAAGGAGTACAAACTAGACTTTTAGCTTCCATCGTACCTACCTGTTATTCAAATTCAATGCATCTCTCAAATTGAGGCTATCCCATTCGATGCGAGAAGTTATATCGGAATGGTAGGTGCGACCTAGACCCTTCCTCTGTTGTGTAATCGTGAAAATACTCGCGCTGTTTCATACATTAATCTGGGCACAACATGAGCTTTCCTTGTGAAAGAGAGCCCAATAAAATATGATGGTCGGAAGTTAGGCAATCTTGCATTAGATTCTTGAAAAAACAACGAAGATATTGCTTGTGAGACTTTAGAAGAGACTAGCACATCTTCTTCAAGTCAATAACCGATGTTTGTACTCCATAGGCACGATACATACTGAAATTTTACACAAATTTCTCAACCGAACATACCCAATCTACTTCATCGCAAAAGCTGAGCTGCATAGAAGTGGTACAACTTATACCAGCATCACCAAATCCAGTAAGTAACTTTTAATTCATATCTTGCTGCCATAGAAAGCAGTTCCTAGTATCAACATGTATTTCAGACACGAGAAAAAATCTAGTGTCCATAGCAAAAGACTTTACATTATACTGGATGACATTTCGAGATCCGTTTGGCCATTCATTCTGCTTGAACCCATGAATGTGCCAAGTTCAGTTCATCAATGTCACCAGTAGGTAATTCAACAGATTCAAGTTAAGCCCATCTCCAAGCCATGATAAAAAAACAGTTGATATTCAACTCCTTAACTTTGGCTTGTACTCGACTGTGAAGGAACCATAAAGTACTGAGAAGATAATTTAGATGTCAAGTTTCTTCCTGAATTTTGTAATGTACATTTTATTTTGAATCTAAGAAGACAATGCTGCCAGTGACTCAAATATGTACAGATTGAGAAAGCCAACCAACCCCATCGGATGTGCAGTTGAATGCCAAACTTTGTTTGAAATACATTCATAGCATATCTGTGAAGATATGAATAAGAAAAGAAGAGCAACAGAAATCATTTGGTAATTTTAAACCCATTGAAACGCCATGCGCACGTGCAGTGTAAAAAGGACTATTCTATTGGAATTTTATTCAATCAATCAATCATATCTTCATTCTTCGTCAGATTCCTCCTCGGCGACCTATTATTATCGTTAGGACAAATCTCAGTCATGTGTTAGGGAACAAAAGTACTCACATCATCATGGAAAGTCTTTCCCTCAGTTGTCTCTTTAATCATACCAATTCTGATGCAGAAATCTCCAAAGTGCTCGCCCTCCTCTCTCTCCAACGAGTATCTCTTCAATAATGGTTTCATAATCTCCAATATTTCCTCTTCTTTGATACTGCTTCTGTAGAGTTTATTGAGACGTTGACCGTGATATCCACCTCCAAGATACATGTTATATGCACCATAGGCTTTACCCACGAAGGCAACCTCTGCTA